ACACACACACACACACACACACACACACACACACACACACAAACACACAAACAAACACACAAACACACATACTAACACACACACTAACACACCCTCCTCCCTCTGCACGCCCCCCCGCACGGTTTTCTCACCGTCCCCATGCCGTCTCGCCTTGGCACATGCAGCGCGCCCCTTTTCCCATGGGCCCTGCGGCGCCTGTCACGTGATTTTCCGTGGGCCCACGGCTGCGTGTGACGGCGGGACCAAAGGGTATAGAGATGCCATGATGCAACACGACATTTTGGCTACAAGAAGACTAGTGATAACTTTGTACAACTATTCTGATTGCCAAACATGTTTCACGATGCAAAGACCTACGTTCAGACTTGCCAAGTCTATAGGCAGGATAAGCCGCGGACTCGAGCTCCGCTTGTATTATTAAAGCCTTTACCCATTCCTGCTGGTCCGGGACAGAGTGTTTCCATGGACTTCATGGATACCCTCTTGACCAGCAAGAGTGGCAAGAGGCATATCTCTGTCATAGTTATTAGGTTCACTAAGTACACTAGACTAATCGCCATGCCAGAGACTGCCAGGACTGAGCAGATCATCAAGTTATTCATGGATAACTGGGTGCGTGACTTTGGTCAGCCAAAGACTATTGTTAGTGATAGAAATGTCCCGTTCACCAGCACAATGTGGAAAAAGGCCGCATAACAGATGGGCAACCAGCTCCAAATGACTTCTGGGAATCATCCCGAAGCGAATGGGCAAGCTGAACAGATGAACCGTGTGGTGCAGCATCTGCTGAGGCACGATATCAAGCCCACCCAGGATGACTGGGATGAGAAATTACCCCTTATCGCCAGTCAACACAATAATGCTGTACATAGCACCACCGACATCAGTCCTAATCAGCTGCATCTGGGGTAGAAGCCTAGATCGGCTCTAGACTTCCTCTTGCCTGAAAATCGAACTGCTACAACTCCTGGAACCATAGAATTTGGTGTCCAGTATGAGTTGTTGCAGCAGACTGTCGAACACATCAAGACATCTCAAGAAGCGATTATTGCTTATGAGAACAAGCATCGCCGACAGTCCACATTTCAGGTAGGGGGACGTGTCTGGGTCAAGGCTAGTGAGTTGGGATGGTCCCTCGTACGTGATTAGAATCCCTGGTCACCTCCGCACTTACCCTGTGTTTCACGCCTCAAAGCTCTCACCTTTCGCTGAGACTGAACAATAACCATCAAGGAGATCTATGCTGCCCCCAACCATGGATGGTCACGTGGACGTCGACGATATTCTGGAACACAGAGACATGCCTGTTCCCAAGCCACTGGCCGGGGAAGACTGCCTAAGCCAGGGAGTACAGGATACGGTTCAGGCATCACACGGATCCAAAGGAAGATCGATGGTTCACAAGAGAGGAACTAGTCAAGACAGCTCCTCAGATCGTGGCCGAGTATGAAAGAACCAGCTTGAAGCATCTCAGCAGACTTTCGAAGCTAAGGGGGACGGAATGTGAGAAATCAGACCTCGCGGGGCCCTTATGATGGAATGCGAGGAATCAGCGCTCGAGAGGCCCTTATCAAACATGCACATGTTCTGGGCAGAGGGCCGCAGCAAGCCCAGTGCCCACCCTAAGTGAAGGCGGGCCTGAATATTCACTACAGGCCAAAATTCGACATTTTCCATATGTGGGTACTCAGGCTGTTGCAGCACGCCAGTTGGTTGAAGGGATGCGTGAGCCTCCGTAAGTTGCATCGTACAGTTTGGCCCAGGCGCTGGTAGTTGCGCCCAGGCACATACACACAATGCAGGGCCGATACATCATAAAGTGGCTACAGGCCTATGCAAAAGCAGCATTGTCGACATACATACCCCGGGTTATGTGCAGATACAGCAAACTGCCGAAGTTCCGGAAATGCAGGGTTTGCCCAACTGTACGAGGCCCAGGGCCCCAACTGCAAGGCTGGGTCTGGGCGCAGGCACCAGAGCCAAACCAGAAACTCCTGGATGCCTCTCGGCCAGGCCCCCCCACAGCCGACCAGGGGCTGCCACTTTAATATAGGAAGAGAGGCAGCCGGGATCGAGCATTCTGGCCCATGCAGGCAATGTGGTCACACTGCTGCGTTGCTGCGCGAGATGCTGCATGATGCGTTAGCGGCCAGGGCGCGTGCGAGCGCTTGTGTGGTGAAGAGGGTTCGCTGCTGGGCAGCCGAGCGCTAGCAGCCATAGCCGGGCTGCAGGGCGCTAACAGGGTAAGAGGGCGATCAGTGGTCTTCAGGAAGGAGGCGAGTGTGGGTGGTCAGGGTCTGCAAGAAGGGTATAATTGCCCAGTAGTGCCATGCTCCACTGTCTCGCAGAAGGCTCACTCCATGTTTGGTGAGTCCAGCCGACCACCAATATATGCTGAGGATTGGCATTCAGGTCTGCATGTCGGCAGTTATGGGTTAGGATGAAGATGCCCGTAGCTCTCTCGTTTTTTTCTTTTTGTTTTCTTCTGAATACGCACAGTGGCACCTAGGCACTGAGAATCACGTGGAGACACAAACAGGGTCTAGCTGAATTGGTGACCCACAACTCCCGAGCTACAGACCTGAACTCGCACCCACAGAATATATTGGTGGTCTGCTCCCCACACTCGCATACATGACGGCCATCCTGCTTGCTGAAGCGACGGTACTCAATGCCTCCACAGTGTCCAAGTGCATTGTAGGAGCCAATGATTTACCAGCAGGGGGCCCTGAATTGAAGTAAAGGGCCCCCTTTTCTTTTTTTTGTTTCTTTTTTTTTTCATTTTCTTTTCCTTTTCTTTTCCCTGTTTTTTCCCTTCTTGTCCTTTTCTTTTCCCTGTTTTTTCCCTTTTCTTTTCCCTTTTTTTGCCCTTTCTTTTCCTTTTTTTTTGCCTTTTTTTCCCTCTTTCTTCCCTTTTTTTTCACGCATCTGGCGCACCGCCCACAAAGCACGCACTGCACACTTCTCACAGTGCACACTCTGGAATTCCAGCGCACAGCACACTAAGCCCCGCCCTGCCCCGCCCCGCGCTGCGCTGCGCACTGGTGCGCCCAACCATGGTCCAGAGTTATGGCTTTTTTCTTTTGGTGGTTCTTCTGGATTCTGACCACCCCATCGCTTCGTTTTTTTATGTCTTCTTCTGCTCAATAGATCTAAGAGGGCATGCTCATACTTGCACTTCCAGGAATGCACCCAACTGCATTCACGCCCCTAGCGAGGGTTCATTTTTTTCCTTTTTCGTTCTTTTCTTTTGGTACTGGTTGCCCCAGACTTGGCCCGTCCTGCTGCTGGTAGTGCCAGGCTCGGCAGGCTCGGCAGGCTCGGCATACCGGTCGTCGGAGGGTCGGACTGCATAGCTGGGCGAAGTACTGGTGGGTTAATGTGTTCCCTCCGGACCACGGATCAGATATTAAACTGACCAGAACAGATATCAGTGGCTGCATTGAAAAAACACATGCTCTCATCCTAACAAGTCCGACATCTGCGCAATGCGCACAAACTGCGCTCTTGAAGACAAAATACACTGCTCACTGACGTGCCCTGAAGCTTCTTGCATCTGGAACAAGGCCAAAGAGCTTTACACTTGAGCTTCGTTATTCTGCTCTCCTTCCCCCACTATATCCGTGATCCAACACCCTCGAGTACGGTAAGAAGATTTGGTTCCAATATCAGAAAGCTGGCACCATGGACCATATGGGAACGCAGAAGCACACAGACCATCAGCAGGACGCATTACAACGGAAGAGGGATGACCTCTACAGGTTCGAATGGCGAACGCGAAGATGCGGTGCAGATGGAGTGCAATTATGCTCTCGGCTAAGCACAGACCTGATAAATTCTATAAAATAAGACCATTTTCTATAAGGATTGGCTGGTGCAGGGCTTGATGGGAACCATCACCAATGATATGGTAAGGTAGAAGGAGGAGGACCTGAGTAAGCGCTGGGGTTTAGAGGAAACAGAGGGAAGCTGACAGTCAATCCTCCAGTAAAGGAGTAATCAGCGCTGGTCAATGACTGTGGCTCCCCAGAATGGACAGGAGTCAGGAGTCAGGACCATAAGAACCTGTTTAAACCAAAAGAGAAAAACCAGACCCACACAGGGCCCAAAGCCACATACCACTGTGATACCAGAGCTGCTAAACAGCACTGGAGCAATGGCAACTGCCTGTGCATGTGCACCAGCTGGCACACAAACTCTCCGCCCTCGTCCACTGATGTGACGCACAGACGCACATGCATTTTGAGAGTTCTTTTCTTGTTCCCTATGACCATGTTCTTCATTCTCTCAACCCCACGTGCAATCAGGACCTTGGATGTATGCCAAAGAGATTGCTGCTGGTTACTAGGAGCGCATCTAACATAATCACGCGCTCTGCTGTTGTTGGGATGCCTCTGTGACCATGTCTTCCTTGGAAGTGACATGAACTCGACAGAGTGACATGCACTCATCAGAGTGACCGGATCTCGACCGTTGTGTGCGTTGTGTGAACCTGCAGTTGGCCTTGTTGCCTTTGTGCCTTGCTGGTGTGAGAAAGTGGGGACCGCTTTGTTCCTTGCTGTAAGAGCAAGCCCTTGCTTCAACGCCTTCTCGCATGCCTGTCCTCGCATAAGTCATCCCTGCTGCCTGCTTGCTTCATTGCCTGTCGGCCTGTATGCAAGTTTGCCATCCTGCTGTGCCTTGCTTTCATTTGCCATGTTGCCTTCCTGGCTCCTTGGACGATCACCAACCCACCAATATTTCCACACATCTGTCATACTGCTGTGCTGTCTCGCAGTGCTTGCATTCCCTTATGCCGGCTTCCCTTGATGTTCGCCTTATTGCCGGCTGTTCAGCTACTTGGCTAGTCGATTGCCTTGGTGCCTGCTCGCCTGCAGCTGGATTCAAGGCAGATAATAACTCTACCCACCACGATGTGTCTCCACAGACTATCGAGGGTCCAGCCAGCTGATGAGCTGGTGAACGTCCGTCAAAACAAGCTGCCTGTATCCCTTGTTCTCTTTGTTCTGTTCTCGGTCAATACTATGTTTAGCCTGCATGTAAGGCATGGTTTTGGCGTTCATCTTTGTTGAGCAGCAATCCACAGCACTGTCATGGACATTACTCAAATATATATACATGTGCAAGTGTGTATGTGTGTGACCTGTATCCCTTGTTCTCTTTTGTTCTGTTCTCGGTCAATAGTATGTTTAGCCTGCATATGAGGCATGGTTTTGGCATTCATCTTTGTGGAGCAGCAACCCAGAGCATTGTCATTGAGATTAACTCAAATGTACATGTGCAAGTGTGTGTGTGCCACTGCATGTGTGTGGGGGGAGATAGAGAGAGAAGGNGCGCTGGGGGGGCCCGGCCCCCAACCGGCTGCCCCGCCCAGCCAGGCCGCCTGGGACCTCCCCCAGCCCCCTGCCGGTCACCCAGGCGGCCCGGATCCCCACTCAGAGAAAATCAACATAAATAAGCCAGTTCCAAAACCCGAAAAGAAGAAAAAGTAGATCGTGTGATTGACAACATTTCCAAGTCTCATGTGTTTATAAAATTTTGGAATTATTCTCGAGTTGCAAGGTTGCAATTGTTGTTCCTTACGTTCCCACAGACCACAGACACGCAGAGTGTTGCATTGCTAGCACTACTATGAGTTTAGACACAAGATGCTCACAGTTGTGGTTCACAGGGTTTCTTGGTCAACACCAGGGTTGGACCCCCCGACGGTCGGCGGCCCTCGACTGGTCGGCTGCCGACCTGCCGACCGATCGGCTGGTCGGGGTTCGTCCGCATCCCGCAAAAAAAAAAAAAAAAAAAAAAAAAAGGGGTCCAGAACCCCTAATAACACCACCAACACCCCCATAGTGGCCCCTAATACACCTGTCTCTTATACACATCTAGATGTGTATAAGAGACAGGGTCGGCACCTACCGGTCGGGGGTCGTCGGCATCCCGCAAAAAAAAAAAAATTTGGCGCGAAAACAATTTTTGCTGGGGGACGGCGCAGGGACGAATCAACACGTTTTTTTTTGGGCGGGCCTGGGTCTGTCTCTTATACACATCTAGATGTGTATAAGAGACAGGAGAGAGAGAGAGAGAGAGAGAGAGAGAGAGAGAGAACAAATTGCAGTCCCTTTTGAGATGGGAACTTTTTCCCCCATTCCAAATTCTACCGACTTCTACTTAATTCTTTTGTCCATCACCCACTCTCATTTGCCATAGCCTAGAGGCTAACATTCACTTTAGACCACCGTTCTCCTTCACCATAGGGCAATCACTCTCTTTTACTGTAAGCAGATGCCTTTGGTGTAAAAGATCATTCAGCAAACAATCTGAGACCATTCTTCATTTTGGTTCTGGCATAACGAGTATCCCTACTGCCTTCCCCTTAACACAACACATCCTGGTCATGATTATATCAGATCACAAAGATTGTTGGTATAACATCACAGTTTCAGAACGAGGTGTATGCGTCCAGGGGACAATGGTACCATTCACGCAGGCTTTTCGATGCAATCACCGTTCATAATCCGCTACCGAACATACTTTACAAACAAAAGCTATTGACAGGCATCACATTATACTACCATTTACCTCGTTAATCCTGAGATCATAATGCAGTTCTGAAGGGAGAAAGCATGGGGATGAGGATGTGAAAGACAAGGAAAACCACACACAAGCACAACAAAAGGGCTACAGAACCTGTAAAAAGAAATAATTGCAGTCGACTTTCGACTAGAATTGACCATCGTGAACTTGCATAGTTTCTTTAAAAAAATGGATGTGGCCCATACCTCCCTGTTCTGCCTCCTTCCCCTGCTCCATCCCTTTGCCTCCTCCCAAGGGTGATGTACTCTATTGGCTTTCCCCTGGCACTTCCTAGCTGTACCTCAGGTCCTTTGATTACTTCCCTTGCCAAATCTTTCGCAAAGCAACAGCCCCTGTAGACAGGACAATGCCATCATCGATGCTCCCTCCTGCCAACAGACATTTCCAGAGAGAGCTCTACACACTGGTCAAAAGAGAGAGGCACTGAGGAGAACAATTCCCTGACTGTGATACGACCAAATCATGGGCTACAATTCTAAATCTCTCTCAGAGTGAATGGCGTCTGGAATTGGGAACACTGCCCTCTTTCTCCTGGATTACCAATCTCGGGAGCAAAGCGCAGAGGGCCTGAGAACAGAGCAGGCCAACGCACAAAAGAAGAAGCTGGTTGTCGTCACTATATATCTAGAAACCTTCAAAGAATCTGCTCATCTGCCTGGGAACATACATTCCTGCCAGGCCTACAACCAAAGCAATGACCAACAAAGGAATTCATATGTACATCCCTTTCAGCTGGACTCTACCAGATACGTAAACCAACCAGCTTAATTGATCATGGATTGGTATCCATCCGAAAAACTCCATTAGAAATTAGCAATGCCGACGTGCATACTGGATTTAATACAGCACCGTGCTCATATGCTGTGCATGAACAGAACTTCCCGGGCAGGAAGGCATAGAGTAGACCCTGTCTGCTCGTGATAATTTGGAAAGAAAGGTATTGGCAGGAGCCCGTCGGTTTGTGATGAAGTTCACAAGAGAGGTACAGGCGCTGCGAAGAGTGCCTGTTTGTTCTCAATGAAGTTGACAAGACAGACTATGGATTTCACAACAGGAAAATATCATTCACACCACGTCCGAAAGCGAAAAGAGCCTTGCTGTTGCCTCACCCATAGCTGCTGCCGGGTAACACAAAGGAAGATGCCATGACACAAACAGGGCATGCCTGTGGGAGTGGGGCAAACTCACATTGCCACTAAAAATTTCAGGGTCAGAGAGGACAGTGCAAGTCAGGGAGGAGATGAGGAGATGGTGTAGAGAGGGGCGTTAGGAGTAAACGTGTGCGTGTGTTGATCGTCACCTGACAAGACAGCAAGCGAGGGTGTTGACGAGGGGGAAACACTTGCACGGCTTTGGGCAGCTGGAAAGACGACAGGGTGATACTAAGGAGGACAGCTGCCGAAAGGTACAGTACATGAGGGAGGAAGGGGGAAAAGATCTGAGGAGGGTGCATGGAAAGAGAAATGGTGCGTGCTCACTGCGTAGGACTGTGGGGCAGCCTATGCAGAGACAGAGTTGATAGATCCATCCATATGTGACAAGGCCTGAAAGAGTATCACCTCATGGCCACCGGCAATGGCCAGATCAACAATTAGAACACGATGATAGTCCATATACGACAAGAATCTCAGCTTGCAAATGTAAAGCACAAAGCTTTTATCAACTGCACTTTCACACACCATCTCCTATCTACAGGCGACACTGCCGTATCCCCAGCACAGGTCCATTCTTTAGCCTCCACTTCTCAGTAGACACTAGTCATGATTTGCTGAACTCCTTTCGGAATCTTGCACATACCTTCTCAAAAGTGGCTCATCTACAGAAGACTTTCCAGACCTTGCGCGAGTAGACTGGTTACTGTTCTCGCGTCGAATTTCCATGAGTGATTTCCCCGCTTTAAAGACTACCTTCCTGGAGGTGGGTGATCCATATCTTACCGCCTCAGGTGAGATGGGATAAGTTGGTGGATTGATCACACGGCAAGTCGGTTCCCCATATGGTGCAACTATTTCATGGCTGCACGAACATGGGACTCCTTCAATCCGTGCTCGTGGGACAAGGTGTCCCTATTGCCACACATTCAATAAGAACAAGACCTGGTACTGGTGTCAATTTGTGCTCAGCTACACATGCGGAGGGCTCCCACATCATGCATAACCTCTGGCGGATAGGTCCAGCAGCCAGCATGGCTGAAAGATCAGTCCCCAATTTCTACCAAGAGCATGAACAACTCTAGGTAGTGAAGAGCTCGACTGCCACAAGGCCAAGTGAGGTGAGATTTAGCTCAGCTGAAGTGAGCTGTTTAACTTCCAGGAAGACAATTGGCCTGCAAACTTCACCTCAACTACATTGGGTATGCTATCCCCAGTTCCATCTTCTGATCGACAAGGAAGGCAGCCCCCTTCTGAGTTCTTAGCCCAGGACGATAACCAATCACTGAGTCGTGTGTTCAGCAACAGAGCAACAGACCTGGACTCATCCAAAATTTCCCAATTTCAATTGCTGTGCTTGTGCTTTGTTTTGTTTTGCCTAGTCTCATACCCGCCAAGGCTATCGTGACAGAGGATATCACCGTCGGACACTCTCATGAGGCAAGACCAAACTGAGCTCGATCCGATGAAGTAATTTATATATGGACATGACGTGAAGAATGAGAAAGCAGGGGAATGCAACCATTATCTCTGCTGAACTTGATGGTGATGCTGACCGGCCACAGCTTGTGCCATTGACCCCAATCTCTCCAAAATTTCATCGAATGTTGGCCGCCGTTTCGGATTAGGCTGCCAGCAATCTGAAACCAGTTGCCTGTACATCGGAAAGCACGACTCTGGGATCACAGGCCGCTCTCCTCTGTCAATAGCCCTCATAATCTGAGACACACACAACAGAAATTTGTTTCAGTCAAATTATCCACAAGGCTATGATATTGCTTCAAGCTGAATTGTCCTTACCCATAAGCCTATGACATGACAAAGGCACCAAGCAGGTCCAATACAGTGGCCATGGCCATCATCAGGAAGACAAAGAAGAAATCAGCGATAATCTTGTGAAAAGTTTGGAAAACTAGCTCTTCGCCTTTCCTTATTATATAGGTTTTGCTTGACCAACATTCAGAATTGAAATTTCCAAAGCAATGGGCAACTCTCCGGCTACCTCCCCAGTCTTACACATGCCCACTCACCCGTCATCTAAGCATCACCCGCCTCATATCTATCCACTTACTAGTTGGGGTATAGCTTATCCCTCCATTTCCACCATATCTTTTGCCCATTCAGAACAGCCCAACTGATTCTACGCCATATCCATCTGTCTGTGCGTCAGTCTGTCCACCTTTCAGCCTGTCCATGTATTCAGTGACACCAGTAAACTGAAACGAAATGGTTTCACAATTCTGGGATAAGTTACATTCAGTCTAGCATGTCTTGCCTGCCTTTGAAAACATCTCCTCGCTTCTAAAAGGCAGGCAGCACATATTGCTGGACTGCACACTGCAACTTATCCCAGCTGTGCTGAATGCTGAGTCTCCCCTGCAATACTTTGGAGACTTTATTTTGTGCACCGGGTTCAGACTTGTATTGCATTGGCAATTGGATTCTCAACAAGACGGGGTTCATTACATATGTCGGTGTTGATACTATTGTTCTATTAATACTATCAACAAGCATGTGTTGCTATTAATGCTGAGTGCAACTTATACCAGCTATTCAATACATTTGTTGCCTCCAACCTCTCATTACTCCCGTTCGATGCAACTCTTGTTACTCTCGTTCCATGCAACTCTCATTACTCTCGTTCGATGCAAATCTCGTTCAATGCAACTCTCCTTTCTCTCGTTCAATGAAAATCTTGTTACTCTCTTTCCTATCAATACCATCCCTCACATGTGATAGGTGAGATACATCCAGAAGTAAGCATTTCGGCATTACAGTGACTGTTGGAAACTCCATGTGGGAGAGCTCTATGCCCTGGAGAGAGAGTCAATCACCCACATCCACTGAGATACTCGAAGAAAATGGATGGTCTTTTGACATGGCCGGCAGTAGCCATGCAGAGGGCACCTGAGGGTCTGTGCCTGCCCTGTTGCCCCCCATCCCCTCTTCAAATGACCAATTCAGAGTCCTTGCAGGACATTCTTTAGTGACGGTCGCAGCAGGTCTCTCCACATCAAACGAAAAGCTAGTAGTTCAGCAGTGTGACGAGGTGTTTGCTTCATCCCATTCATGATAGTACACACAACTCTATCTTCGAATATGATGAATGCCAGACAAGCAGGCACACAGGAACAGTAGCGTAAAGCATTTGTTGCACCCAAACGCCATGCCAATTTGGCTTTGACGGAAGACTAGAAGGTCATGGCTTTGAGAGACACCAAACTAATATCCTATACAGAACCAGCATGACCACACAATCTCATCTGGAAAGACCGCCATCAATGGAAAAAGAAGGGAGAGGACATCTTCAAGTGACACAAGGTACCTGGAGAGGAAGGCATGCCCCATGTTATCCTCCCATCTGCCAGTGGAAAACAAGGAAGAATGACCCAAGGATGAAGTGGAGCACAGTGTTGACTTCAGCCACTCACCTGCATTGGATGCATACCCTTGAAAGGCTCCTCCCTAGTGATCATCTCCCAAAGAACGACGCCGAAGCTGTACACATCTGCCTTCTCATCATAAGGCGAACTCTCTAAGACTTCTGGTGCCATCCAGCCCCAGGTCCCTACCTGAAACATTCAGTCATTGCTCAGCATATCAGACATGGTAATATGCAAGTTTGATGTTTGATGTTAAATGTCCGCAGATTGAGGGCATCAGTATCCAAGTTTCTTTTTTTTTTCCAACCACACAAAGACCCATCTATTCTCAGGGGCGTCAGTCCAGTTGCTTATCACCGGCAAGTAACTCTTACAATCTCTTCTTTTTCTCCTTTCTTTTCCCCCCGCCTCTTCGCTAAGTCTACAACAGCATTTCATCCATTTCGACTTTGTATTTATTTCAACAGAGCAGTGCATTGGTGGAGGTTTTTACAGAGTGCAGGTTAAGAGGGGGCCGAACCTAGCTTATCAGGTCCAGAAGTTCGACTCATTTGCACGGACGGCATGTCCACCACTTCTCTACCTGTCGAAAAAACACAAGCTTTTGGGTCATGGTTCTTTCCTTGCAATGAGCAACACAGGAAAGAGAGTAAATAAACCACGATGCCTCTCAAAGTGGACTTGACTGCAGCTTGCTGTTACGATAATAACAAAATCATCAACATATTTTGGGGGCATGCTGAGAGCGGTGTCAGAAGCGGGAGTCTGATTCGAACCTGCGACAAAGCGTTGACAACAAGGCCATTTGACACACCGTCGCTACTAAGTTCTAACACAACATCGCCGCAGACGAAGGAGAGCCTGTTCGACAACGAAAGATTGACGATCACTGTGAGAAGGAGATGTCTCGTCCACACAGTGCCCGAGACGGTATGACCAATCGTTAAAGAAGACGAAGCCAACAATCTCTACCATCCGTACTAAAATCCAATCCAATGGCTAGGGACGCAGGAAAGACTCCGCGCTCAGTGCGGAGTGATGGCACAAATGCCCCGGCGGCCCATGAAGGGTAAATACTAAATATCTTGTTTGAGATATAGACATTGAGAACTGCCTGGTGAACCACAGGCAGAGAAGGAGAGAAAAGGACAGGAAACGGGGGGCTGCGACAGACGTTTTTGTGGACTCCTCAACAGGATGAATCCTGTGCAGTCTGCATATTCCCCTAACAAATGATAATGGAGTGATATTCCACCTTAACCCCTGCTGCAGGTGGGCACCGACCACTGCCCCACAACTGATACCCCGAGGTGGGCGCCAAGCACTGTGCTCAAGGGTACCTCTGACAAAAATCAAAGCTGACTATCACTTACCCACACCAAACGGAAAACTCTTACAGACTGCAGGTTCACCAACATCATAAGCCAGCACCCCCCCCCCGAAACAGGGAAAGGTCTGTGAGAGCCAGAGAATACTCCAGCCGAGCAAAATGTAGCAGTGGAAACTGCAGCAGCAGCATCAGATGGGCAAGCAGGGGCAGGACGAGAGCTTCGTGAGGCCAAAGAGAAAGTGGATGATAGTTGCGGTAGTGGGAGCGCATGTAGCAGGTCCATCCCTAGGCAAGGATTGATGGAGGATGCCCACAAGAAAGCATGATATGTTAGTTTCTGAAGTCCCGCCACGTGTCTGGAATTCATCCAAATCTGGTCAATTGCCCAGTCAACACACCAGCCAGTTGATGGGAGGTTGTACTCGGATAATGAACGACAGGGAAGTCCCAGGAAGCCCCCTGATGAAAGACACTCATGCAAAGCGAGCCATCAAAGCGGACCCATACTTGCATACCTACAAAGGTACAGGAGCCATCTGCACAGCGAGGCAGAAAAGCAGACCCGTAGTCGCCCCCCCCCTGCATACCTAAAAAGGTACAGGAGCCATCTGCGAAGCGAGCCAGAAAAGCAGACCCATTGTTGCCCCCCTTGTATGCGTAAAAAGGCACAAGAGCCGTCTGTGAAGTGAGCCAGAAAAGTGGAGCTGTAGTTGCCCCAGTTTCAATGAGGCGATAAGTGAAAGCATATTGCTGAGCAGCTTCACGAGCATGCTGATGAATGTCATCAACAAAGCGCACTTCTTCCCAGTACAGCGCCACGTTAGAAATTTCTGGGCCAGCATTAGTTCCAGTTGGAATACCAACAATCTGTTTCCCAAGCGTGTCACCTGCCGTGTACAGATAAGCTTTTGTACGACAAAGTGAAGACGTTGGAGAATCTGAGAAAC